CTGGAGGCGGCTGCTTGGGAGGTTTTCAGGTTTGTCTAGTTTACAAACCATTTATTTTTCGATCATTTATATAAATGTTTTCTAAGTTTCAAAAAAAGTGTTATATACCATAATTCATGGAAGTAGGTAACCTTTGGGTATTGGCTTTTTTCCATTTCTTATGATTCCTGGTTTTCTCAAGTTGGCTGTACAGTAATCCATTCTTTTTAATTGCTTGAGTAATATCCATGGTACAGATGTACAGTTGTTATTTGCCTGGTTGAGAACACCTGGGCTGATTTCCCAGTTTTGGGCTATTGCACATAACAGGTACATGGCCACATTCATGTAGACGGTGGGCGCCGGGGCAAACTCTCCCCAGCTCCAACCTGGGAAGCCTTCAGCAGAGAAGGCCCACTGCAGGAGGGCTGCATGGTGTCTCAGTTCAAGCTCATCTCCCCTGCGTGCACAGGGAGAAGCTGAACACATTACACATGCTGGCTGCCCTTCTCCTTCCTAATGACTGTAATCATTGTTAGGGGTTAGGGACAGGGCAGGGCTAGGGCAGAAGGTGGGGTTATAAAAGGGCAACCCACGGAATCCTTGTGGTGTTGGAACTGTTCAGTCTCTTGACTGTGGCAGTGGATGCATGAACTTATACACACACACATGTACACACACACACCAGTCCAAGTAAAACTGGAGATATCTGAATAAGATTGGTTGGTTGTACAATGTCCATACCCTGGTGGTGATATATAGTGCTATTGTTTTGTAAAATGTTACCACTAGGGGAAACTGGTGGACAAACTTTGTAAGAGATTGCTCTGTGTTATTTCTTACAACTACATGAGCATCTATAATTATCTCCATAAAACATTTTATTAAAAAAAAAAGAACATGGGTATGCACCAGAACTGGAGATGGGGACCAAATGCCCCACTCCGGATGTTCCCCTCTCTCTGTGCACTGCCAGACCTCCCCTTATCTCCAGTTCACTTGGCTCAGAGGACACAGTATCTAAGGCAAACAGTAACAGACTAATCTTAGTAATAATCCCAGTCAAACCAGTCATGGGAAGAGGATGACAATATAGCTACTTAGCTCCCAAGTATGTGGCCCGGGCTGAGAACTATCATTAGCTTCCTTCCCGTCCCATCTCTCCACTTTCCACCTACTTGCCTTGACCCATGGTGACAGACTCAATGCTGGAGCAGCAAGTATTTATTTCCCTCTTATAGGAAGCCCAAGGTGACAGAGACAGAGCTGAGCAGCCTTGAGGAGAAACAGTATCCAGGCAGGGTGAAAACACTGTAAATATTTACTCTGATTTTAAGAGGAGACAGAAGAGGGAGAGGGAAAGGGGCAGGGAGGGAGGGAGACTCATCTTTAGCAGCTAGAGGAAGGAAGAAGCCTAAGTTGCTCCTAGATTTTAATCACACAGGATGAGCTTTACAATGTCCCAGGGGAGAGCTGGGACCTGTAATCCCAGCTACTCTGGAGGCTGAGGTGGGAGGATTCCTGGATCCCAGGAGTTTGACTCCATCCTGGGCACCATAGTGAGACCCTATCTCTAAAAAATAATAATAATAATAAATCAGTTCCCAGGGGAGGGGAAGGTAGCTGTAGGAGTGACTGAGAACACAGCTGGAAGGGGCTATCACTGGTGTGTGCACAGCCGTGGGCTAGTGGGTGAGCTGAGGATTCCTGTGAACCTCACCTGCTCTGCCAGAAACCTGTGTTAGCCCTAGCCCCTTTAGGGCGGGGCCACTAGAGGATCCCTGGCCCTTCAGGGTCTCTGGTTCCTGATTGTGGGAAGGAGATCCCAGTTTCTGCATAATGAATTTAGACCCTATTCAAATTTGCTGCCTGACTTAAACAGGGAAAGAGGTAAGATTTCCGTTTCTGGGATGACTGGCAGGAAACATCCAGAGGAGGTAGGGAAACCCTGGGTGAAGAGGTAAGAGATAGGCGTGTATGGGACAGAAAGGATGACGGACAGAGCCAGAAGATAAATCTTAAGGTGGCAACTTAACAGACTAGGTCAGCATAAATAAAAACATAGTTCAGCAGAGGCAGAGGGGACAGGAGGCAAGGAGCCAACCATAAAGGCACACAGAAGGTGATAGGCTAGAGGTGGGAACCAACTAGATTCACTATACAATTATATGTAGATTGTTATATAATAATTATTATACATTTTGGAGCTAGCTTTCATAACCTTTATAGCTTTGTGACGGTCGGCATACACAGATCTGTTCTGAAATTCTGGATTTCTTCCTCCATAACGACATTAACTTCCCTTTGAGCCTTTACACCCAAGGCAAGCCCTGCTACCTGGAGGTTATCCCTGCAAGCAGAAGGCCAGTAGCAGGAATTCTGTAGCAAGGAAAGAATCTGGCTGCAATGCATAGGGCCGACCACATAGTACGTGCTCAATAAATGTTTGTGGCATAATGGATAAAAGAATAAAGTAAGGAGACAAAACCCCAAGCCTCCAAAAGCCAGTCTTTCAACAGCTCTCCTCCTTTCCATTGTCCTCAGAAAGGCTCTGGCCATAATCCCTGGGGGCTGAGATGCTGCTGAAGGGGCACCACAGTTCAGCCCAGATCTGAAGACAATGAAAAACACCGCTTTCCCACTTCCCCAACCCAGATAACCCTCTTCTGAGAGGAAACCTGGGGAAAAGTCACTACCCAGAAACCTCACTGGCTAGATGCCTTAAAAATGCAAGTGAACAAGAGTTGGCTGAGTCGATGAGTTGTTCTAGAAACAAAGTTGAGGGCTAGCTGGAAAACGAGGCTTCTTTCTGAGCACCAAAGCCTTCGGACATTTTTCCTCATTGCATGGGCAAATGACCGTATTTTACCCTCTCCTGCCATTTTCAGCAGTGTATGTTGAACATAATCTAACACTTTCCCCAGGACTGACGGTTAGTCTCCTGATCACCACCTGCAGTTGACTTCAGTGCCTTTACCCTATGATATCTTGGAGATTCCTAAAGCCTGTTGTGCCATTTGTCCTTGAACTCGGTGACCTTAGGATGCTCTCATTTCACACTATTTATTTTTCTTTTCAACAAATTTATTTTTGTCACTGGGTTTTATATAGGCTTTTATAGGATATTAAAAAGAGATTATGTTTCCTAGTAAGCTCTTGGCTGGGAGAGGGAGGAGTGCAGGGACGGCTGAGTGGCAGTGGCTGAGGGAGTGTAGGTGGAGCCAGAGGCCAAGGAAATTGCCATAGAATGTCCAAAGGTGGATGGTTTACAGATAATTGAGGGTTCATTGCATTTTGGAACTGATGGGCTGGAATTCAGGAGACCAATGAGCAGGAAGGGACCGAAGCTACCTTACCTTGCAAAGCCAGAGGCTGTCTGTGCAGTGATCCTCAGGAGCTCTAGGCCTGGCTCCCTGACTGCTGGTCCCCCGCATCCTTTACACTGCCCCCGCATCCCTGCGTCTGAGGCTTACCTTTTGTGCCCTGCGTTTATCAGCTCTCTGATTCTGGTGGTAAATCCGGCTAAAATTGGAAACAATCACAGGGACTGGCAGGGCAATGACCAGGACGCCACTCAAGGAGCAGATGGAGCCGAAGATCTTCCCTGCAATCGTCTTAGGCACCATGTCTCCGTATCTGAGAGAGGGAGAGAAACAGGGTGTAAGGGAGAGAAGGCCATTTGGGAAACAAGTGAGGCTTCCCTGCCAATCATTCACCTATTCATTCATTCACTCATTCAGCAATTGTTTAGAGTACCTACTATGTGCCAGGTACCGTGACATGGACCTGGGGGTGAACAAGAGAGACAAGATCCTTATGTGCAGGGAGCCAACATCCTAACAAGACCATAAACAATTAAGTGAATACATAAAAATATTGTGTCTTGGTTGGTTCTACGAAGAGACTAGAGAGAGGTGCTGCATCAGGTGGTGGGAGTGTGGTCAGGAAAGGCCTCTCTGAGGAGCTAACATTTAAGCTGAGAGCTGAATGTAAAGGATCCAGTCATGTAAAACACCTGGGGACAAGTATGTGTGGTAGAGGAAACAGCAAGTACAGAGGCCTTGAGGTAGCAGGAAGGAGTTTGGTCTGATCTAGGAATTGTCAAGGGTCAGCAGGACTAGACACCACAAGAGGAGGGTAAGGCAGGCAGGGGCCAGATCACGCAGCATCTGACGGGCCATGGGGAGGAATATGGGTTTATCCCATTCAGTGAGGCACCATGTTAAGCAGAAGAGTAACAGAATCTCATTAATGATGATAACAGCAAATAACAGACTCACCTATTCATGTGGATTTATAATTTACAAAGCACTTCTGCATATTTACCTCACACAAGCCCCATGAACCCTGTGAACTTTGTATTCTTATCCCCATTGTACAGATGCAGGAACTGAGGCTAATTACATTGACAGCTCTTCTTTGCTCAACTGGGATTAAAAGCCACTCTTCTTGCTTTTGTCTATTTTCCAGTAGCCATAGCATCTCAGAGGGGGACCATGAGCTCTGAAGCTCAGCCCCTTAAAGTTGTGAAGCCACTTTGGAACTGTGCTGGCTCCTCTCAGAGCTTGGAGAAACTCTTTTAAGTACTTCGCACCCTAGCAGCTGCCCTCTGAGACCAGGTTGGCCTGGATCCTACTCAGTCCTGGGCAGGCAGGCCAGAGCCTCTGTCCTCCAATCAATAAGATACTCTCCACAGTGGTTAAGTGTTTAGTCTCCTCTTTATTGAGATAATTGAAAGGCCTTATTAAGCAAGGCCTTATTAAGCAAAGAGCTGTGATTACTCCTTTGGCTAAAGCCAGAAACACCATCTCCCCTGCCTCTCTGCCCTCTGGGTGTCTGGAGCAGAAACAAGCTTAGGATGACCAGGAATTGCTTCTGCTAAAATAGGCTCAAAGTCATCTATCCTGAGGAAACCACGGGGCTTGGACTTCCAGAGAGGATGTGGAAGGGGATGGGGCAAGCCATTTCACAAGGATGTATGAACACCCGAGAACTTGGTGGAGGACATGGCAGAGGTAGACAGGTATTCGGTGAATGAATGAATGAATGATCTCACTTAAGCCTCTCAATTCCCTTTGAAGTAGGCTCCTGTTTTGAGACTGTCTTCCTTCTCCTTCAGTGTTCATGCCCTTTGCCCTGGCTCGAGATGTCCTGGATGTGCACTAGCATTAGGGCCTGTGATAGAGCCTTCTAGATCTTTGCAGCTAGGGTTGTCTCCTCTGCCATGGTACTCAGGAGAGGCCTCCAGGGAAGTGGTTGAGAACATGGATTCTGAACTTAGATAACATGGGTTCAAGACTCACCCTGCTCCATAAAATAACTGTATGATCTTGGGGGAATGTTACTCTGGGCCTCAGTTTCCTTGTCTGTAAAATGAAGATAATAACAGTAACCTAGATCATAATCCTATTGTGACATATACAGCTCCACAAACAATAGATAATATTACTTTTAGCTAGGCATTCTGAAAACCACAGTCTCTGTTGATGGGAAACTCTAAAAACACAGTCAGTTGTCCCAAGTTCAAATAGCCCAATTAATGAAGAAAAAGGGGCTGCCTTTGAGATATATCACCTTAGCTGGATTTGCAGATGACACAACTGAAAGGGGGCCTGCAGGCACAGGGCTGTGGATGACAATAAAGCATGGCAGGAGTGCAGAAAAACAGTGCCAGGAAGGCTGCATTTCAGAGTGACCACGGCTGGTGAGGAATGCTAAGGACAACAGAAAGATGTCTCATCCATATGAAGAAAGAAGAAGAAGGGAAGCCATGCCTTCTGCTGGTGCAGATGGTCTGCTAGTGACAGATGACAGGGAGAAAGCCGAACAATCCACTCCCAGGCGTCCTCTGCCTCCTCCACCAGGAAGAAGGAGCTGCATCTTGGAGAAGCTGGAACAAATGCCGAAAAGAAGGATCCAGAGCTTAAAGTAGGAGACGGGAGAGCAGGCAAGTGTCCAGCGGAATTCAGTAGATTTACATCACAGGCCCACATGAATCCCACCTGGGAGACAGGAGGAATGTGCAGATGGGGTTGCAGAACCACTGCCCTGGATCTTTGAGAAATCATGGTGCAGCAGAAAATTACCAAGCGACTAGAGATGGAAAACGGTTGTATTGAATTTTTAAAGAAGGCAAAAGGAGGTCTGAGAAACCACAGACCAGTAGGCTTGGTATCCATAAATTGTGCCATCAAATTGCTGGCAGAATTTGAGTGCAGATTATTAAGTAGACAGCTTGTGAATACTTGGAAAATAAGCTGTATTGGTTCACTAGGCACACATCTTGCCAAATTAACCTTATTTCTTGTCTTGACAGTGAGGTTAACTGCTGGTAGATCAGGAGATTGCTCCAGACCTGCTGCATCATGATTTTAACAAGATGTGTTCTTGTGCCAGTTCTTTATACCCTTGAAAAGCTGGAGGAGTGTGGTGTGGAGAGCAGTGTGGTTAGCAGGGTTTGTACGACCATCTCCAGTCTTCAGGCACTTCTCAAAGATTACCAACTGTGGTCCTATGCCAGCAAAGGAAGTTCAGGGTTTTCACGTCAAAACATCTCCTTTAATGAAAAAGTGAATAAGTAAATGAAATAAAGAATGGATCTCAAGTTAGGTCTCCAGTGATATGTTCCAGAATTTTTCAACAACTTGTATAAAGCCAGAGGAGGCAGCATGGCCTAATAATTAAGAGAGGACACTGGAGTCCAACCTGGGTTTGAACCATAGCTGACATTAGTTACCAACTAGCTAAGTGATCCTGGGGCATTTATTTAACCTGAGCCTCTATCAACTATAAAATGGCTTTTATATCCCCAGGGTTGTTGCGATAATTAATGAGGTAATTCAGAAGAAATAATTCAGTGTTTGAATAACTGTAAGTTGTCTAGAATTAGCCAGTGTGGTGGGTACCTATTGTTTTGTCTGCTGACACCCTAATAGGAACTGTGTCCCTCATTCCCATGATGATGGAAACTGTCCAGATAAGCTGCCATATTTCCCACGCCCCCATGCCCACTTGCCACAGCTGGTGAGTTCAAAATAGGACATCTCACCCAAGCTGGGTCAATGACTTCCTTTCCTGGATTTCTTTTTTAAAAGCTTTACTGAGACACAATTTACATACCATAAAATCCAACCATTTCGATTGTACATTTCAATGGTTTTCAGTGTATTTAGAGAGTTGTGCTCACATCACCACAGTTTAATTTTAGAGCACTTCATAACCCCTAAAAGAAATGTGTACCCATTAACAGTCAGTGACCATTCCACATCCCACCTCTGAGACTTAGGCAACCACGAATCTACTTTCTCTCTCTATAGATGTCCCTATGTTGGACAATTCATGTGAATGGAACCATATATGTGGCTTTTCGTGTCTGACTTCTTTCACTGAATGTGTTTTCAAGGTTCGCCCATTTGTAGCATGTATCAGTACTCCATTCCTCTTTATGGCTGAATAACATTCCACTGTCTGGATACACCACATTTTGTTAATTCATTCATCAGTTGATGACATTTGGGTTGTTCCCACATTTGAGTTATTCTGAATAATGCTGCTATGAACATTTGTGTACAACTTTTTGTGTGGACACGTTTTCATTTCTCTAGGAGTCATATGGTAACTATGTTGAAGAGTTTGAGGAACTGCCAAAACGTTTTCCGAAGTGGCTGTGCCATTTTACATTCCCACCAGCAATGAATGAGGGGTCTAATTTCTCCTTCTCTGAGACAACACTTGTTATTGTCTGTCTTTTTATAGCTATCCTGGTGGGTGTTATCTCATTGTGGTTTTGATTTGGATTTTTCTGATGGCTGATGATGTTAAACATCCTTTCCCCTTCCTTGGACTTTTACGTTAGGGACCAGATCAGTCTCTTTCAAAGAAGCCGACGCGGCAGCAAGCAAAGCTCTGCAGCTGTTGGCAGCCATGCAGTGCCATGGGGAAAAGCGGGATTGCAGTCGGGGAGGAAGAAGGCTGGCACTCGCAGGAGATGTGTGATGGAAAGGACGGTGATGGAACTGGAATTCCTGTTCTAATTCTTACCGAGGACCAGCTGTACCCCTGACTTTCCTGTCGCTTAGCTGTTCCATCCTTCCTTTGACTCTGCTCACTAACGAATTACTATTTTTGTTTAACCTTCTTTCATTTAGATCCTGTGGTAATGATGGTGATGAGGCTGCTACTGGTGATTCTTTGAAAGTAAGCTCCTCACATTTCTAAATGACAGAGCTACTATGAATTGAGGTCTTCAGGAGTCAAAAGGATTTTAACAGGTTGTAATCATGGGTGAAACCAACCAGATTAATTTTAACAAAGATAAATGAGAACACCGGCATTTTGATTCAAATAATCAATGACGTATAGCTGATGGGAAAGACCTGGCTTAAAAAGAGTCTCTGTTAAAAATCACCAGGGAATTTAACTTCAACATCATCCACCAGTATAAAGAGGCTGTTAAAAACCTAATGCCATTCTTGGCTGGATTGATGGGAGTGCAGTGTCTGGAAAAAGGGAGTGGGTGTCGTACTCTGCTCCTAGATGCAGACCATTTCTAGGCTGCTGTATCGAGTTCCAGGCACTATATAGTCTGTAGGACATTGATTAACTGGATCATGTCTAGAGAAGGGAGGCTGGGATGGTGAACTGTCTGGAAATCCTCTCAAGGGAAACAATCAAAGGAATGGGCACATTTGGCCCGAAGAAGAGGAGTTGGGGAATGGAAGAATGGAAAGGAACAATGTACCAGAGGAGCTTGTGCTAGGAACTTACCTGCATTAGTGGGTCTCACAGTAACCCACCCTATCAGGTAGGGTTAGGCCACTTTAGGGATGAGGAGCGAAACTCCAGAGAGGACAGGAACTTGTTCAAGGTCACTCAAGTAGTAAGAGGCAGAACTACTGGGGTTAGAGCTCAGGTTGTTTCCACTGCCCCTGCTCTTTCTGTCACATCCTGCTCCTCCCAGGGTCAGGGAAGGACGGAAGTGGAAGTGAAGGTGGGGCTAGGGAGAGGAAGGCTGTGGAAGAGGGCTGAGGAGTCAGCAAGAGCTTAGCCCCTTCTCTCCACCTCTGCTCAGTGGCAGCAGCACAGCACAGTGGTTAAAAGTGTGGTCTCCAAGTGCCAGACTACCCAGGGCCAATCCCGGCTCTGCCACTTGTTAGCTGGGTGACTTTGGCCATGATACTTAAATCCTCTGTCTTCAATTTCCTGGCATTGATCAATTAATAGTACCTACGTCACAGGGTTGTTGTGAGGGATTGCATAAGTTACTTTTTTGTGAAAGCTCAACCTGGCATATAGGAAGAGCCTTATTTGTAAGTGTTTATTAAATAAACCCTGGGCCCAGACCATCATAATTTCTAAACTGGACTTCTGCAAAAGTCTCTTAACCAGAATTAATTCTCACTTCTACTTTTGTTCCCCATATATAAATATATATGACCAATCCTTGAGTGGATTGGTCAGCTTCACCCTCTTCCATGGCCTTAAGAACAAGTGAGAGTTAAAAGAGAGCTTAGAGATCATCCAGATCAATTCTGAGTAGCCTGGACTGCATTAAGGATGCAAGTGGTTGCCACCATGGCCAGCTGATTTTTGTATTTTTTTGTAGAGGTGGGTTTCACTATTGTTGCCCAATCGTCTAGAACCCTCATGCCCTCAAAGCAATTTCCTCTTGGCCTCTACAGTGCTGGGTTGGCAGGTGTGAGCAACCACACCCAGCCAGAAGCCGATTTTTTTTATT